AAATACTTATATATCCTACAAATATGTAAGAATGTGAAAGAGGATATTAATACATGGGTAACCCCAGGGAGGAAGTGGGTTATCTCTTGTTGCATGGTGGAGATTGCAGTCATTGAGATGAAACAAAGGGTGTGATTCATTGAATGTAAAATTGATGGTCTTGTCTGTAAACCTTCACTCAATTCAGAATAAAAAGTTTATTTAAAAAAAAGGAGTAGAAAAGCATTGACTATCTTCCACAATCAGTACTTAATTTCAGTGGGAGTAGGAAGAGACTTATAGAACATGGCCTCATGCTCCCTACTCAATATCAATAATTTGTGACAAGAAAGAGGCTGTTGGAGAAGCAGTTGATAATTACTACATCATCTTATCCAAATGATCCTTGCCCAAAAGTTCCATGTAACTTTTTAGTGTTATTTTTTCCTTCCAGATTTTAACATCACAGCTATCATTGACATGTATACTATACTCACAGTGTAAAGCAGAAATGGAGCTAGAGTGCTCAAATTTCTGTGGTGAAAATGATCAGGTGGTACTACTTGCCCATGGGTTAATTGTCAGGTTTGTCTAAATTGAAGCTGTCCCAGCATACAACTCCTTTGCAGTGTGGGCCTACATATGAAAAATAAGTCTCAAAGACAGAAAGTAGGAACAAAGACAAGGTGATTTAAAACTAGGTGGCATTAAATCATATATATATTTACAGCAAAATAAACCCTAAGACAACGGGAAAAAAAATTTTTTTTTTTTTCTTTTATCCAGGATACTTTATTTTCTTATATCAAAGAAAATGTTAAAGAGTATCTTCAGACACATTGGGAAGAAGAGGAATGCCAGCAGGATGTCAGTCTCTTGAGGAAACAGGTTGGGACATTTCTGTGCTTGATTCCACATTTCCAAATGTCTTAGAATTGAGAATGCCTAGAAAGGAAAGCTTTTGATATACTCAGAGCATATTCTGAAATACGTAGCCTTGATTCATGAATGTTGCAGAGACTTGACTGTTTAGGAATCCACAGCACATAATTAACCAGCCAGATCACAGTAGCTCTTTGTCTCTAGAATTGCATCTTTCTAGGTAGCATAGTTGATTACAAGCTGGTCTGCTAAACACAATGTCAGCAGCTTGTATCTACCAGTTGCTCCGCAGGAGAAAGCTGAATCTTTCTACTCCTGTAAAGATTTGGAGTCCTGGGTGGTGCTGCTGGATAATGTACCTGACTGCAAGGTTGGCAGTTTGAACTCACCAGCCATTCTTTGGAAACCATATACAGGGTCACTATGAGTTGGAACTGATTCGATGGCACATAACAATGCTCACATTTATAAAACTAAGCCCATTCTTGGTGGTATACAAAAGGTTTTGTGCATCCCATCTAGGTTTCATGAAAGTCTCAGCATGTTAGCATCTCATCAGTCTCAAATCTCACCCGCTTTATGGTGTGAGTCCCTGCTGTGAGCCTTCCTGCACCCAGTGCTCCTGATCCTCACACTTGCAGTTCCTCTCCAGATGTCCCATCCCATCTCGCCCTTGGTCTAGCCTTCATACCCGTGGATTCTTATGTGCTCATTGAGTTTTCAGGGATTGGGCACACACAGTGCTGTAGTATCATAATTCTAAATAGCTGTTAAGGGTTTTGCAAGATATAGGAGATTGTCAGAAACTGAATATGAATCAGAGAGTATTTTGCTAAGCTTCTTCTCATTGAATCCAGGCCTAAATTGATTTTATTGGGATAGTCTTTGTTCTTCCTTGGTTCTAGTGCAGAGAAAATAGTCAGATTTAATTAAAGTCCTAGTTTGTTGAATCATCATTATAGCATTACATGCTTTCTTTCCTCTCAACATAAAGCATGCCTCTAGGTGTAAATTTCAGTGTTAGCAATCTAGAAACAATAATATAAATATATTACTCATAATCAAGTTTCTTTTAGGAATCATTCATATCAGCCTTGAAATAGGTGATATTTTAATTTGCGAGAGTGCTAACTGATACTTGAAGAAAGTTCGTGTGCTTGCCATTCCAGGCCTCATTTTACGTGATCTGTATATATCTCATTTTATATAAAAATAAGCAAAAAGCAAACTTTGTGTTGTTTTTGACTTAAAGGCTGAAAAGGACTCCCACCTGGATGGGGCTGTTCCAATCCCTGCAGCATCTGGGAGTGGGGCAGATGACCTGCAGCAGATGATTCAGGCTGTCGTTGATAATGTCTTCTGGCAGATGTCTTTGGACCGAAAGACCACGGCACTGAAACAGCTGCAAGGCCACATGTGGAGAGCGGCATTCACAGCTGGGCACATGAAAACAGAGTATGTAGCTGCTCAAGTGACTTGAAACATTTTCCAACCCCAGATCCAATTGACACCTTTTTATTAGTCCTCTCTCTCACACCTGTAAATTGCATGATTAGAGAAATTGATAAAATCAAAGTTCTTGTTAGAAGTTTTTTGGCTTTTTTTTTTTTTAAGTTGGGCTCTAATATTGCATGCAGCTAAATTCCCCAGACCTGTATGTCTGGTTTTGTGGGACACCTGAAGACTCTTAATCCTAATTTAAAATAGCTTCCAAGAAAATGGTGAAATCCTGAACTAAGTCATGTTTGATCCTTAGCACATGAATGCTGCTTCCCAGCACCTTTAGATTACTTGCTTTCTGTTCTGCTAAAGAAATATGGATGGTTTGAAATTATATGCCCTGCCACTTGCGGGGTTTCTCAGAGAGTGTCAGCAGTGTCCTTTTGAGCAATCTCCAAAGATGTTTTGAGTTTTGGTTGTGAAGTTCCTGATGGTACTCCTGCCTAAGGAGACTCATGAGTTCTGTGTTGCTGAGAAATTCTTAATAAGACACACTGCCACTACAGAATTTAGGCTGCTACCTGATTTAATCCTAAATCCAAGATTGTTTCCAGCTGCATATGTTTCTTTCTGTCAAATGAGATTTCTTTACTTTGTTGTTCAGTGTTGTTCTGAACCCATAGGAACTGGCCCATAGGAACTCTGTAGAGTTTCAGAGGAGCCACTGGTGAGCTTGAACTGCTGACCCTGCGATTCAAATCAACTTTGCAGTCCAGTGCAGTAACCCACAGCACCATACCAGAACTCCGCATTTTTGCTTCCCAGTTTTAAAAGATACGTTAGACTTTTAGAGTAGGCCGGCAATCTGGAAATAGCATCTGATTCACTTCGTAAAACAATCAAAGAGTGGAACCAGGAGAATGTGACCCCTGTAGTTAGCCCTCACTTCTCTTGGTCTTAGTTCTCTAATTATAAATCCAGGGACTTGGAATTGAGTAATAATGGAAATTAATCATGGTAAAATGCTGTCTCCATGAGTGCAAACTATCCCATGTTTAATTATTTGTACTGGTTTTGAACTTACTGATCTCTTTCAATTAATGCAAAGAGGGCTTAGTATATTGCTTATTCCTGTTTAGAGTGCCTATAATTCACTACACATTGAGTTGATTAAATTCAGCTGAGAATAGAGAACTCGCTCTCTCCCCCAAGGTGGAAGACCCCAATATACAAGCAATAGTATTCAAAAGTAAGATGAGAAACTTGTAAATTTATGTTGGAATACTTCACCAGTAAGAATGTGATTCTCTAGGGGAATCTGCTAAAAATGTCTGAAGTTAGTTTCTTGGCTTATTTGTTTTAACTCTGGCAAAAACTATAAAGATCAGTGCATTGTTTATTAGCAGTTTTAATGATGTATGTTCAGAACAATCCAGAGAATCTTGTGGAATTAATAAGCAATAAATCATACTGATTTATTAAAACTTCCCAGTAGGGTTTCTTTATAAAATAAAAAAAAAAGAAATCTATGTAGCGTTTATTGTATGCCAGACATAGTTCGGAGTCCTTAGTAGATAGTAACTGATTTGACCCTCTTAGTAACTCTATAAGATGGATGCTATCACCTCTTTCCATATATATCATTATTATAACATGCAAGTAAAATTTTTCTGAACATAGCTCAAAGACAGCTGTAACAGTACATTGATAGGGAATTGCCAGAGATTCAACCGGATTCAGACAAGAACGTGGAACCAAGGGGATATGATTGCTGGCGTCAGATGAATTTTAGCTGAAAGCAGAGAATACCAGAAAGATGTTTACCTGTGCTTTATTGACTACGCAGAGGCTTTCAACTGCATGAATCATGACAAGCTATAACAACATTGTGGAGAATGAGCATTCCAGACACTTAACTATGCTCATGAGGAACCTGTACATAGACCAGAGTGAGTCATTCAAACAGAATAAGGGGACACTGAATAGTTTTAAGTCAGGAAAGTGTGTGCCAGGACTGTATTCCTTCATCATATTTATTCACTCTGTATGCTGAACAGATAATCCGAGAAGATGGGTTATATGACGAAGAACGTGGCATCAGGATTGGAGTCCTCACTCATTAACAGCCTGCTATATGATGGAGTGAGTCCTGCCGTGGTGCTGTGGGTTAATGCGCTGGATTGCAAGGTTGGTTTGAATCGCAAGGTCAACAGTTCAAGCTCACCAGCCGCTCCTCGGAAACCCAACACAGGGTCTCTATGAGTCATAACCTACTCCACAGCACTTAAACAACAACAACAACACATGCAGATGATACAACCTTGCTTGCTGAAAGCCAAGTGGACTTAAAATACTGATGAAGATCAAAGACCACTGCTTTCAGTGTGGGTTGCACCGCAATGTAAAGAATAGAAAATTCCTCACCACGGGCCCAATAAACAACATACATATAAATGGATAAAATATTGATGTAGTCTGAGATTTCTTTTTGCTTGAATCTACAATCAACACTCATGGAAGCAGCATTCAAGAAATCAAAGGATGTATTGCATTATGCAAACCTGCTGCACAAGCCCTCTTTTATTAAAGTGTTCAAGAGCAAAGATTTCAGTTTGAGGACTAAGAAGTTCCTGATCCAAGCCATGGTATTTTCAGGAACCTCATAAGTTGGACAAATGAATAAGGCAAACCACAGAAGAATTGATGTATTTGAGTTATGGTCTTGGAAAAGAATATTGAAAGTACCATGGACTGCCAGAAGAACAAAGAAATATGTCTTGCAGGAGTACGTCCAGAATACTTCTTAGAAGCTAGGATGACCAGACTTCATCTATCATAGTTCGGATATGTTATCATGAGGGACCAGTCCCTGGAGAAGAACATCATACTTGGTAATGTGCAGACTCCCAATGAAATGGATTGGTACATTGGGAGTCTGATGAAGATGAAGACTCCCAATGAAATGGATTGGTACATTGGCAGCAGCAATGGGCTCCAGCTTTAACAACAATTGTGAGGTTGGCGCAGGACCGGCAGCGTTTTGCTCTGTTGTACGTAGGGTCAGTATGAGTCACAGCTGACTTGATGGCACCCAACAGCAACAACATATAGCCATTTTCATTTCATTTCAAATGAGAAAACTGAGCCACAGTGAGGTTAAGTAATGGGCCCAAGGTCACATAACTACGGCTCACCTAGAGGAAAGTTGGCAGTATTTTACAAAATAGTTTAGAAAATAGTCAAGGTCTTAATGTGTGGTCTCTGCTATAACTCTAAATGATAGTGGTGCGAAGAGAAGCGTTTTAGGGGATGACGACATACACCAAATAGGTACGCTTGGAACATTGAGTTAGAACATAGCACGTTCTCACTAAATTATAATTCCCTATAAAGATTGTTATTAGTGCCGTCCAGTCAGTTCTGACTCAGCCACCCTGTGTAGGGTTTTCAAAGAGCAATTGGTAGGTTTAAACTGCCAACCTTGTAGTTAGCAGTCCAGTGCTAATCTTACTGCTCCACACTAGGAATCACAGTATAGGTAATTTCCATGTTTCAATATTCTTAACCTTTTAAAAAAATAGGTGGGTGTCTGATTTCTTGGGAATTAAAATGCATAGGAAGAAGCTCTGCCATGTATACAAGTGTGTATAACATAGAAACCTGAGTCATTACCATTTTTACACATTAACACTAAGACTTTATTTTTTAATTCACCCTCTATCCAGTAAATTACTCTCTCTTCCCTTCCACCACGGGTAAAACCATCAAAGAATGTTTTCTTTTTGTATGAAAACCTTTACATTTTGAGGTAACTGCAGGCCATGCAATTTTGTCATTTAAAGTGTAAGATTTTTACTATACTCACAATACCTTTTTTGTTTTTTAATTGTGAATTGAGTGAAGGTTTACAGACAAGACCATCAGTTTTACTTAACATTCAACAAATTATGTACTTTGTTTCATCTCAATGATTACAATCCCCTCCATCAACAGTTGTTGTCCCACTTCCTCCATGTGGTTACCCATGTACAAATATCCTCTTTCAAATTATTATACATATATAATAGGTCCTCATCTTTCTCCCCCAGAGTGGCTGGCAGGTTCAAATGATGGACCTTGTGGTTCGCAGTCCAGTTCTTATTGTATGGAGCCACCACATTCTCTATATTTGTGAGACATATAAATAATATTTTACGCTTCCTCCCATACCCATTTAGCCTTTGCCTCTGTCCATGTATCTACACACAGAACTCGGTTGTTCTAAGGTTGTGTATATAACATTATTTACCTCTGTCCCGTTTAGTCCTTGCATATTCTCCTGCGTCTTCCCCTATCTTTCCAAATTCCATGCAGGCATTTTCTCATAATTTCCTTCCAGGAAGATGCAGTGTTCTGGATGCAATGAAGAATATTACAGTGATCTATCAATGTGGTGATAATGAATTTGGAGTTATAACAATAGTTGGACTTCATGTGCAGTTCAATTGTTATATGTTGTTGGAGTTGAACATTACTGTTTTCTGTCCACTATGTTTCCCAACCTGATGTGGCACTGTGGGTTAATGCTCAAGACTGCAAAGCTCTTTGAACTGCAAGGTCGGCGGTTCAAGCTCACCAGCTGCTCCTTGGAAAACCTATACAGAGTTGCTATAGGTTGGAATCAATTAGACGGCACTTAACAACAACGATTTCCAACGGAGTCCTGGTGTGGCTCTGTAGGATAAGCACTCAACCATAGAAAGGTCAGTTTGAACCTCACGGTCGGTTCAAACTCACCAGCTGCTCCTTGGAAACCTGGCACAGGGTCACCATTAGTCAGAACCAGCTCAATGGCAATTAACAACAACAGTAGCAACATGATTCCCCTCAATGACACAGACATTGTTGAAGATGAGGCCACATAACTTGCTAAATGGCAGTGTTTTGAACAGTAAGTTGTAACAATTACCATCTTCAAATGATAACATCGGTAAATTAATATGCTGCAACACTGTATGTAGTTCATATTACTAATGATAGTCTGCAAACCTATACCCACCTCCCCTAAAAAAACAAAAGACCATAGGCAGTAATGCAAACATTTCATTGTGACTCAACTACATTGTAAGTTGGGAACTAGTACTGTATATGGAAGACACCATAAAACTGGTAGGGTAAGCATTCGACTGCAATGTTGGTTTGAATTGCAAGGTTCAAATCCACCATTGACGGCATCAATGGCACTTAAGAACAACACCATAAAACTGACTTTTGAGTGACCTCAAAATGTCAGGAATCAAACCATACAAACCTGCTGATTCGCTAATGTGAGATGGTATGAGTAACTTAACACATTTGTTACATAATTGTTCCCCCCTGTATAGTAAAATTTTTTTACTTCTTAAGTGCTATGTAGTTCAGTTTTCTGGGTAATCAAAGGTTTAAAGCTGTAAGCTTTGAATTATTTTGAGTGCAGTTTTATAGTATTGCCATGCTTTCTTAAGCTGGATATAATTTAACCATTTTTGTCATAAATGACAGCAAAGATTATATAAAGTACAACAGTTTTGTTCTTTTGAGTTGCTTGGGAGTGTTTTCATCGCTCATTTTATCCTTTATCCTGATCAGATTTTACTATTATCATTGTGGCTATCAAAAATGATTCTTCTCTCCACATAAATTGTTGCTTCTAATCTGCTGGTCCTGGAACTCTGAATATAAGCTTGTTAGAACTATAGACTTTTGGAGTCTCCTAGGAGTTGCTTCTCATGATGACCCTTGTGGACTTGATAGAGTAACTGATGGATCTTTGTTGACAGATTTCCATCTGGCTAGATGACTACAGTGTAACTTGCTCGTCTTTCTTCTAGGTTCTTTGAAGATGTAGTTCCAGCAGTCAGGAAATGGAGAGATGCTGGAATGAAGGTGTATATCTATTCTTCGGGGAGTGTAGAGGCACAGAAACTATTATTTGGGCATTCTACAGAGGGCAATATTCTTGAGGTAGGTTACGTGCTTATTTGTTGTTTTTTTGATTCTCAAAGCATAAAGTAATATTAAAGGAATATACTGTAGTTATAAGCTTATACATATGTCAAAAAGAAGTAGAAAATCTGGGAAATACAAGGAAGAGTGAAGTGTTTTCTTCTCTACTTTGTTGTGCATAATAATAATCTGGGGAAACTTGGTGCAAATGCAGAGCTCTGGGCCCTACTTCCTAGCAAATCTGATTTAGCAAGTCTGTGCTGGGTATTAGGAATCTGCAATTTGAACATCCACCTTAATTTTTTTATTTAATTCTGAAGAATTAAAAATTAAGGTGGATGTTCAAATTGCAGATTCCTAATGCTTCGAAATCTTAGTGACCCTGTATAGAGTTTCCAAGGAGTAGCTGGTGAATTTGAACCACTGATGTTATAGTTCAAACCACGCTTGCAGTTCAGTGTTTTATCCTACAGTGCCACACCAGCAGTAGTGCTGCAGCTACCTATATATCTAGCTACAGCTTGGAACCCTAGCAGCATAGTGGTTAAAGCACTCAGCTGCTAACCAAAGGTGTGGCTATTGAACTGTCACTCCTCTTGGGAAAAAACTATGACGGTCTGCTTCCATAAAACCTTTTGAAACCCCACAGGGGAGTTCCACTCTGTCACACTGAGTCAGAATCAGCTCAGTTGCAGTGGGTCTTTGGGTGTATTTGTATTTGCCTCTGTGTCTTATGTGTGCCTATCTAAAACAGGTAGTAAACAAGCATGTAAATCAGCCAGCTTTCCAGTACTTGAAAAACATCACTCAAAAGATGCTAATGGAATGCTTCCTTTGGATGCTTAAAATTATTTTGGGGTACCAAGTGAGGCAAACCTAAGAGAAAAGGAAAAATTCAAAACCAGTCTTAACCTTTCTTTTTTTTTTTAAGTTTTTGTTGTGATTTGAGTGAAAGTTTACAGGGCAGAGCTTTAATTTTACATTCAACAAATAGTGTATGTTGTTTCATTACAATGATTAGAATCTATAATCCCCTCCATGTACCATCAGCTAACAGTATTTCTCTATATTCATTTTAGCTTGTTTTTTTTTTAAACATTCAGGTATGTATAATAATTTAAACCACTGAAGGGTACATTCTGCAAGTCTGTCTTCTGGCCACCAGCTCTCAGCCCCTCTCTTCCCATGAATCTAGAGTCTTCAGCCACTTCCCCTTTCCATGTCTCCATCTCTGCCTCCATCTCTGGTGTCGCTGCTTTTCTGGATAAGGTCTCACATTCCAGTTATGCACTTCTCCCTTGATGGTCCTAGGGTCCTCTGTTTCTGGACTGTAAAATTAACCACTCCCCTGTTTTTGTTACAAAAGTCTACCTTTACAATTGTGACAGTCGCAATTAGTCATGATAACAATTATTCACTATTGAATTGTAAGAATCTTAACGCCATCCCTTTTCACTAGACCCATCTAGACAAGATGAAAACTATTCAGTGGGGACTCTATTAAACCCCCTTTTTAAACCTTGTAAGCCAGTCACTTCATGCCTTTATCGCCCCCTCATTTTAGGTAGCCATTGTCTAAGTTGCCTGTCCCTATCTACTCTGTATACAGAGGGGATAGCATTGATCCTTGATGTGAAGACTCCTTCCCTCTCTTTTTGAGTTACTGCATTTATGAGTATAGGTCAAGTTCATAAAATTGTAGCAATTTATACTTGTTTCCTTTATCAAAAATTGTTTTCTTTTAATCTTCCTCTATTCGAGTTCTGGTTATCAAGCCATCGAGGCTAGATTAGATGGCTACTATCTGCAAATTTGGGTGTTATTGTACCTCTCCACTCACTTCATATCAGCTGGATGCATCACTTTCAGCTCTAGGCCTCCATGGCCATGTCCTTGTCCGTGGGCTCAGGTGTCCCCAGGTCTCACCACACTTTGGACCAACCAGCCCTTCGTCTTCTGTCCCTCATCTTCATGTTAACGGGAGTCTATGGAATGTGGTTGAACTCAGCCCGTTTCTTCATTGCTGCCTTTCCCCCTCTTCCACTTACATTGTAGACCAGTGTGGTCACCAGCTAGCTTACGTGACTGCTCATGTGTTCCCTTTGAGTTTCAGTCTTAGAGGGGGTTTGAAGGGACTTGATTGCTTGCCTTGATGGCTTCCCAGCAAGCAACTTACTGTTGTAGTAGCCAATCACACTGCATTTTTGTTTTGGGTTTTTCTTGAAGATGTATCCTCTATTGCTCTAGCTGTTCCAGGCTGGTCAGCCTGTCCTTTCTTATGGGAATATCCCACCTCTGAATATTCTGGATGGGGCTCTGGATTCCACCTAAGGTCCTCTACAGTGTTAACTTTTTAAAAGTTAAATAAAAACAGAACAGCCTTCATATTACCTTCATTTATATTTGAATGACTAATTAGGCTTTTAGCTTACGAAAAGTTCTGAAAACATTCAAAGATCACATTATATTATCAAAAGCCTAGTTTTTTTTGTTTTTTTTTTAACTGTGGTAAGAATATACACAGCAAACATACAAAAATTCTACAATTTCTATATGTGTAAGTCAGTGACATTGATTATATTTTTCTAGTGGTGCAACCACTTGCTGTCATTTTCCAAATCCAGATCCTACTACCATCATTAACACATTCACTGCCCCCTGATACACACTTATTTTAATTGTTGGTTAAGTTAGCAGGCTATACATTTGACTCCAATTCTTCCTAAGAATTCAAGGGCATATCCTGGCTCTTGAGTAGACTTTCCAAATAAAATATCTGGGAGAAATAGTCTGTTGAAAGTACAATGACAGCTTATTACTGAGGCAGGGTAGAGGAAGTTTGTTCTACACATTGTCAAAGGGACAATGTGTAGAACATTACTCCAGCACTGAAATCTAGCTCGGAGTGCTAATTGTATTTATTAAGGATAGAAAGTGGGATATGCATACTTCAAAAGATTTTGGATCTAAAATTAACATAAATACCAAGTTGATAAAGTGATCTTAATATACACATTGAGCTGGTAATTTTCTTCCTCCAAATGATATTACTATAAAACCTTCCTTTATGTTTATTTTTGTGGCTCCCATAAATTCTATATTAAGTAGATTTTCAATAAATACTTAATGAGTAGAATTGCTATGATTGTCATGTGTTCCAGAGATAGGAGTGGGGAGGGAAAGGGATCAGCATTAGCAGGTGCATCTTCAGTCTTTCTATAACCCCCTACCTTTGTTTAGCTTTTCGATGGTTACTTCGATACCAACATTGGATACAAAGTGGAGAGTGAGAGTTATCGAAAGATTGCAGACAGCATTGGGTGCTCAACCAACAACATCCTGTTTCTGACAGATGTTACTCTAGGTGAGTAATCTGCCTTCTTACGTTGCATATTTCAGGAGTGCTACAAACACATTACCTGTTTAAATAAAGTTTATGTGGGGATCTTTGAAAAATGAAGCAGTTTAAGAAAAGAAAATAGTGAAGCAACCAACCCACCTCCCTCTTTAGCAAATCTTAGGGGTGGTAAGGGGAGCACAGTGGCTTCATAGGATGCAGTGTGAGCCC